ATTACTACGACCACAACACGGGATTGAAGCAAGACTTTAGTCCCATGATGTCCTTACCGCCGCAGAAGCCCCGCCACCCTGTTGAGTACCGAATCTGCCCTGAAGGTTGGTCGAAGACTTGGGATAATCTCGGGAGGTCCATCGTTTGGTACGACCCCAACAACACACATCGTCAGCAGCAGGAGCAGGAGAAACAGCGCGTAATAGAGTCGGACCAGGGTGCGCATGATGAACTACTGGCACTCCCGTCGTGGGTTCCCAACTGGGCGCTCAAGACCCACCTCGACCCGGACCTCCTGGTATCCTGGCTTCCTGGGGGGAAGCCGCGCTACTGCGCCGACGGCGGGCTGGAGGCGGTGTACACCTTTCCTGACGCCCGCACCATTGGGCTCGAGGGCGCCTACTTTGACCATATTGATGCAGTTGGCGCAGCCTGGCACCCCGAGACGCCCGCAGCGTCCATGCTTCGCAGAGTCGGCGACGTGCGAGAATCTTGGGTTCCCCTGGTCACCGCCACCCCCGCAGTCCCCGACTGCCCCTACCGTGGTCTCAAGAGAGGCCGTGAGGATGCTATGCTGCTAACGCACCTCGGAGACGACGCCAGACACACGGAGGAGGGAGAGTCGTACCTTGATATGGTGCGGTGCTGGTTAAACGCCGAAAAGAAGTACTACGCTGGTCCGGACGTAACAGAGCTGGCGAATATGCGCCTCTGGACCGCGATGTCCGTCGTAGGGAAGGATGTCATGCAGACGGTTAGGACGCCGGTTAGAGAGTATGAGGGAAGCATGAAGGATCCTTACGAGCGGTGTGTGGAGCGTATTCACTGGGCGACGTCGCACCGGGCCATGTTCACGACGAAGACGGGATATATGGGGTTGGCGCCCTGGAACGCGAAGGCGGGAGACTGGATCTGCGTTCTCAAGGGGGGCAAAACGCCCTTCCTTCTGCGTCCTCGTGATGACGATGACGTTTCCTTCTCCCTTGTGGGTGAGGTCTTTGTTCAGGGCATTATGAACGGCGGTGCGTTGGGCCCCGAAACACCCATGAGGGAATTTTACATCAGATAGGAGAAAATCTATTCTTTGTAGGCAGAGTCAACAAACAAACAAACTCTCGGTCGGGGCATGCTCCCGGAGTAGGTAGATAACTATGTTGATGTCGACCACATTCAGCTCTTGCTGGATTGGGTCGTTCACTTCAAGATTTTTGTGCGCCCAGCAGATGAATGCAAGAACCATTCCCGAAAAGAAAAGATATATGTGCCCAGGAATGAATGACGTATGTGTATCGTAGGTAGCATTAAAACGTCCAACATTTAGTTAAGGGCGTTAATGACATTCCAGCCTAACCTATTTAGCCAGGTGGTCATAAAGAGGGGCGTAGCCAACCAACTGACATGCCGTCAACCTTCCCCAAATTTACAACTTTCAGACACTCAACTACATGCTTCACACTTCTCACCCGATCTTCACGATATCATATCTCTCAGGGATCTTCTCCCTCCAAGAATCATGAGCCAAAATCTCAACGTCGGCCCAACCCCAAAGACCATCGAAGGCGGCTGCCTCTGCGGCGCCCTCCGCTACAGAGCAGACTTCCCCCCCGACCATGACTGGGCAGATAATAGTTCGACCTGCCAATGCACGCAGTGCCGCAAGAACCTCTCCAGCCTCTTCTTGGCATGCCACAGAATAAAGCCCGCCTCGTGTTTCCAGTGGACAACCGACACGTCGACCCTAAAGCACTATCGGGCCTCCAAACTGGCCAGCAGGCCGTTCTGCATTGAGTGCGGGTCCACGATCGGCTATTTCCCCGCCGTTGAGGGCTATGACTATGTTTGTATCGCTGTCGGGACTGTGGACGCTCTGTACCTCTTCGGCGAAGGTGCAGACGGGGTGGTTGTCCCTAAAGAGGGTTTCGGGAGGGCTTTGGTGAATGGGCTGGGACCGAATCTGTGGTGCAAGAACGAGATCAAGGGGGTTACGGATAACATTCCACTGTTGAATAGATCGGAAAGGCTTCAGGAGGAGTAGGTGCATACCCTCTACGGAACCAATCTGGACATTGGAGAAGGGGCGGCATTACCATCTCGATGTCTAATACTCGCCCAATGCTTCCTCTTAACTCCGACAATGACATCACCTTTTCTTCCAGGGCCCCGTACTTCCATCTTTCTCCGGAGTTCTACAAATATGAAATATACCAAGTCTTGCCTCTTCGGGAGTGCTATTCAAAAGTTTAAGTGCGGAAGTGGAGCTGCATTCTACTATTTAACCGCTGGTCAAGGTAGATATGGCGGCTCTTGTTGGAGAGAAGGAGCTGCCCGTACAAGTTGTGGGACAGGAACTGGAATGATCCCGGGATTCAAACTTCAGACCAGACCGCATGTGATCCCGGAGGTCAGTGGCACATCAGAGCCGCCAAACATTCATTACGAAGGTATCCCCCTCGCGCCTTCCTTCTTTCCTTTCCAAATCATTCATATTTCCGAGGAAGTAGCCAAGAAAGAGCTCGCGGCTATCCGCCGTACTTTGTTAAGGCAATAGGAAGGAAACTGAGGCACCCCTTGGCTCCTTCCCAAAACTCCAGCATTCACTTTACGCAAGTAATTCTCATCTCCTTCCCCAAAATTGATTTAGATTTCAAACCCCTGCGGCCTTCATTTCTGCCCTTCCCTATCTTTTAATCTTCAACGCCTTCAATTCCTCCCACACCTCAGCCAAATCTCGACCGCTTATCTCCACTTACGAATTTCAAACAATCCATTCCAGGAGGTCCTATTACGGCTAGTTTCGACAGCTTCTTTCAAAAATGGCTTCTCCTCCTGGAACTCCCGGCCAAACGGCCCAGATCACCTTGACTCCTCGAGAGATCGAGCTACTTGCCTGCGGTATGCAGAGCACAAAAGATGCGAATGTACGTCTTCCGTCTCCTTCTTCTTCCCCTTCTCCGTTTCACTCTCCCTCATGCCCGCCCTCGTTATATGCAGCCTGGGTGGCCCATACCACGAGATGCCAAACTCATGGTATACGTGGGCCAAGGCTCAAGGCACATGCTAGCCAGGCAACTACTGGTAAAGATCCAAATTGACTACGACAAGTTTGCGGCTCTCGCCGGTCTGACGATTGGCTCCGCTCGCGTTTTGTGGGGTAAACTTCGCAGGAAGCTCGAGGGTGCTTCCGGACGCGGAGGTACACCTGCCAGCGCCAAGTCCCAGACTTCCAAGTCGAAGCTCAAGAACGAGCCCACCAAGCGGAAGCTCAGCGATATTGATGACGCCAACGCTGATGATGACGACACCGGCGAGTCCCCGGAGTCTCCCACCAAGGCCGCCACGAAGCGACGTGCCAAGAAGGCCAAGAGGACCAAGAAGGCTAAGGACGATATTCAGGTCAAGGACGATGTTCAGGTCAAGGAGGAGGGGGATAATGCCCATGTCAAGGACGAGGATGCCACTGAGGAGGAGATTTAGTTTCATTTTGACAACATGTCCATCGGACGATACTGGAGATAGATCCATTTACCTGCTCATCGGGCGTTACCTTTGCTTACGACCTGGAGATTGAGTTGGCTGAGGAACTTGCCGTGATTATGATGAGATAGGAACAGATTGAATGGAAGTTTTAGTTATCCTGGACCCCACTCCGGTGCCTCTGCTGCTAGTCGCTCTATTAACGTTACTAAACTGTTTCTGCTCGTGGTTGGAAATCCTATTCCAGACTCCCATTGATTCTACTCCCTTGTCACACATCTGTGAAACCTAATCCTTCCAGCATGTCGTAATCTCCGGGAAAAGCCTTTGTTGTCAGCTCAGTGGCTGGTTCCATTTGGGCAGGAGCGGCCGACGTCACCCATTCCCTCCATGAGTGAGCGTGTGCCATCCTGCCGTCTCTCCGTGGAGCCAGATAAGCCAGCGTTGGCGGGAATCCGGATCTCTCCGTTTGTGAGCTTGGGCGCCCTTGACTTTTTCTTGGTGATAAATCTGTAAATCACGTTGTAGTGGGTGGCCTAGAGGCTTGGACATCCTCCTCCCTCCAGGGATAACCCGTGGGCTTCGTAGCTCTTCCGCCTGCCGTGGCCCTACTCAGCACCTTGGGATTCTCCAGCCGAGATAGTTGGTGGGCAGCTACCACTACACTATCCCTAATCAGGAATCATGGTTCGGTGGTGTAGTTGGTTATCACGCTTGTCTAACATCCACAAGGTGCTGGACACAAGAGGTCCCCGGATCGAGCCCGGGCCGAATCATCCTTTCATTTTTTGCCTAGTCTTTTTTTTTTTTGGCGTTTTGAGGACTTGGCTCTACTAACCATGCTGCCTCCATAACTGCCTCCTCGTGACTGTATGGAAACACTTGGTACCACCCCTCCCCCGTCGTCTTAAACTAAAGGCTCAGCTAACAAGGGAGGACAAAGTCTAGGATCTGAATCCTCGTTTACCCGTCACGCGAACGATTAGATTATTCGTGTTTTGATTATTCGTCTTATTGTAGAACCTGGAGTCCACCAGCCTGCCGATTAGCATTATCTAGACCTTATAAATAACTCGGTATTACATTCTCGTCTAGAATTTTTGTTCAGGTTACTAGGAGTGATACACTGAGGACTAGATAGACGCCAAACTTCTTGGTAGGATAATAAGTAGAGCTAACCTGACCACCCGGAGGTCCCCCTGAAGCTGATGATGCTCTCACACAGGACGTGATTCTGAAAGGTATATTTCTAGCCTGTATGATAGTCATGGCTGCTCCTCTCACAGGCTGCCGCAACTACTGAAGTCTATAGTGGGAGAGTGAGAAGTCGGATATGGTATGAAGTGTGACAACGGCCGTATACCTTGGATGCACTCCCTTCTATAATCCTTACAGTACTCCCGGTTCCAACCGCCAGAGACTTTCTCTTTGTTTCTTTCTGCTAGCGAGTAGGATTTTCTCGCAAATCGACAGCAACGAGCGATGCGTACTTCATCAGGATTTGGGGGAACAAGGGACATCTACTGGGCGGCTGGCGCAATGGTAGCGCGTTGCTCTCCTATAAGGAGTTGCAAAGCAAAGGTTGCAGGTTCGAGTCCTGCGTTGCTCGGGATTTATCTTTTTTCCTTCTCCTCTTTTTTGGTTCCAAACCAAATTACGCCCTTACATATTTTAGTCTTGTTTAATGTGTATGAAACCTAGCCAACTTAAAAAAAAATTGTAGCATCGCTTCTAGCACCTGTTTGAAACTTTCCTATGCCTCATATATATAATATTTAAGAACTGGTGTCTTCATTTAACCACCCCAACCCAGTAAACCTCGCTTGCGAACCTTGTGGCAGTCTTAATATTAGCAAGGGCAGAGTATATAGATGCGAGAAACACTATGACGAGGAAATCGAGCCTTGCCACATTGGTGTTGAGTCGGTCGTAATGGTGCTTGTGTTTATAGTAAGATCAGAACAGTGAGTTAGTATAACTCACCAACCACTAACATCGTACATAAGGAATCGGAGTGGCTGTTGATCACTCAAGAACGAACCGTCTAGAAATTAGGGAATGTATTCGATGCTAAGATAAGCTTGAGCAGGTATAGGCAGGGGGCCAAAACCACATTAATTATGAGATGGAAAACAATAGGTACGTAGATGCTATAGCGGACTTGCAGTGCAGAGCTGAGAGCTCTTTGTTCTGCCCTACCATAGCAGAAGGCGAGATATCTCGCCGGCGCAATCAACACGACCCTCCTCAGCGATATTAAGCCACCTCTTGCTTCTAATTATACGCGGGAGGTGGTTGAGTAACACCCCCAGTCCCAGTATATCCTCCTTGCTGTGGAGGCGGGCCATTGGGAGCACCGTACTGCTGTCCGTACTGTCCATACTGCTGCCCGTACTGTTGCCCGTACTGTTGTTGTCCGTACCCAGCTGTGCCCTGATCACCCCCGTAATAATCCTTCTCACTCTTCCCGGGCATCATGGACGACAGCATCCCCGAGATCCCGCCCTGTCTCCGCGGCGGGCGCTGTGGTTGCGTCCCACCTTGTTGGACGGGGGCTTGGTACTGGCCATTGGGGGGGCCATGGAGGTTCTGCTGGCGCCGCCTCATCCTCCTCCGCCGCATGTGGATACAACAGACGAGGAGGAAGAGGAAGAATAAGAATACCACGACGCAGGCAATGGCGACTCCGGCTATGCCGCCGCCACGGAGCCGGCGGCGGGGGCGGCCATAGTTATAGTTGTTCTGGCGGTTGTCAGTCTTGGACCTCGAGATTCACCTGAGAAAGGATGCCGGGCGAGAGAAGGAGAAAACCCACTGGGTACACCACGGCCATGTCGGAACAGGGAGCTGTAGAGCTGTAGAGTTGGCTGGTATGTGATTGTGCTTGGTGTAAGTGTAATAATACTTTGATTGCGCTGGGATGATATTAGACAGAAAAGCAGGCCTGGAGCAATGCAATGCGGCATTGGCACTTATTATATAATTGTACGCGACGTCAGGAGCGGCTTTGATAAAAGATGTACAACTATGAGACTGGACGTGGTACGTGGCGACTAGGTCTGCGCTGTGAGACTAGGTCCGCGCTGTGACGTCAGTCATGATGGATGCTGTAGGTCACTACGGGTAAGGTGGGGTTAGGTCGACCTCAAAGTCCGACAATATTAATAGCAATGAGTATTGGCTAAAGCCATGACGAAGGGACAATCCGCCCTCGGTTACCGTCCTGCCAAGACGCCAAGGTTGAGACGGGCTTGTCAATCGTCACAGGGAGGCAAGCCTCAGTGCCTTTGAGGAAAGAAAGTTTTTCTATACGTGATTGGGGCCCCACACTCAGCCGAAAGACTGACGCACCTGGCTTCTCTAGGGAGGTCATTTTACCCTCGGGGGCTATTCTATTCCCCGTGCAATGTTCCTGCTATTATTGCTGGCATTGTCATGTTTACGGACCATTGCTTGCGCCCTCTCGTATTAGTGGCTTGCTTAACGAATGCCCACCAAGTGTACCTGCGTTTATCTGACTCGAATCAAATTAGCTTTCCAGCCCCGATAACTACCCACTTTCAGCTCCGGTACCTGGCGAGATTCCCTTACCTGATATCATCGCGTTGCTCTATCAGTCCTTGAGCCCTGTACCATGGCTTCTGTGTCAACGCTAGCAAGAACTCTAGAACGTCTCCATTAGCACATGCTTAAACTGATAACCATCGAAAGGGTAAGGAGACAAAACCGCAAGATACTCAAGCCAGTCCAAAGAGCCGTCACACCGCGCAACCACCAGTCATCAGAAAGCGCAAGCCGCCACTAGTATATCCACAAGAAGCTTACCGCTACCCTCTGTATCCTCCGTATCCTAGACCTTGTTCATGCACACCTCAGGTGGCAAGCTTCTTAGTCCCCTCTTTATACATTTGACAGTCGATCTACGTAGTTTAGCCCAAGGTCTTCCGTGTCCTGCAACTCTATATGTACCAGTGCCTGGATACAATGAAGGCTGAGGCTGTTAGTTGGGTAACTGCTGTCTTCTGCTGATGCCGGCAACAAATAGTGGATGATAACTTAGATGTAAGGCACACAACTCAGCGATTCGTCTTGTAAGTTGCGGATTTGATTCGTTTGTGCGACTCGCGACTCGAAACGGGAAAAAGTTGAGGTTACAAGCATATAAAAGCAGGCTGGTTACTATAGGGAACCACATAAATGCGCACCCACCATCCCCGCATGACACTGTCTCTGCATGTAGGCCCTGACAACAGAAGGGGTTTGCGGGCAATACGACCGTTTTAGGCATTCCCCCCCTTCCCCCGCTTGGCACTGCCATAATACGATTGTCATATCCACCATTGACCTATAACATCGGCAGTGCCCTGGACTATATTTGCCAAGGTGAAGAATTCACGCCTATATAATAAGTCTCCACCCTGCTGATCCATCCTGTTTACGTATCACCGAGAATACTACCACGAACCATACGCAATTATAATTATTATTCCTATGCACGTGTTAGCAGAACCACTGCTGACAGGTTACTATGTAGTCACATCGCATGCAAACCATCACGAGATCCGCATGGGGCAAAGGAAGACGGTGTAAAGCACGTGCTCTCCGGGGGGAACGTGTGCGACATGTTCGACGTATATAAGTCACCAGAAATGGCCCACTGCAGATCTTCATGCTTCCTACTTCGTACCGCACCAGCCACCTCATCGTCCCCGGTACCACATCGCCGTCGCAATGCTAGCCAAAAATCTCCTCCTGTCCCTTGCCGTCGCCGCACCGGTCGTTCTGGCCGACCAGCTCCCCTTGCGCCTCGTCTCCTTCAATATTCGCCTGGCTACCTCTGTCCCCGGTGTGAACGAGAAACCCTGGGCGGAACGCGCGCCCTATGTTGTGGATCAGCTCAACAAGACGGCTCTCGACCCCCCCTGTGGCGCCCCGACGCTCATAGGGATGCAGGAGGTATTCCACGTCCAGCTGACCGACATCAAGGAAGGTCTGGGCGCTGGCTGGGGCCACATCGGCGTCGGGCGAGACGACGGCAAGGAAAAGGGCGAGTACTCGCCAATCGTCTACCGGACCGACGTCCTCCGGGTGCTCTACAACGAGACAAAGTGGCTCTCCACCACCCCCGACGTGCCGTCATTCGGCTGGGGCGCGACTAATCGACGCATCGTGACCCTCGGCGTCTTTGAGCATATCGAGACCGGGAAAAAGTTCATCGCTTCCAACACACACCTGGACCACCAGGTCTCCAAGGCCCGCACTGAGAGCGTCAAGGTCATCATGGAGCGGATCATTGCGGCCCAGGAGGAGTACGGGCCCCTTGGCGTCTCTCTAACGGGAGACTTCAACTCGGAGCCCGATGGGGATGCACATTCCACCGTGATGAGTTTTGGGTACCTGGAGGACCTGCATGACCTCACCTCTGACCGGAAGGGGCCGGAAACGACGTACACGGGCTTTGTGCCCGGCACGAAGGAGACGAGGATCGACTACGTTTTCGTGGGTCCGAAGGAGGACAAAAAGTGGAAGGTGAACGGGTATGAGGTGCTGGATAATGTGGTAGACGACATATATATTAGTGACCACCGCGCCGTAGTTGGAGATGTCACACTTGTGGACTGAAGAGGTGGATGGGGATTGAACACGCTAATGCCCCAGAATAGATATAAAAGCTTCAGAATCAACCTTAACAATCCGCTGTACGGTACATAATGAACCTGTATACGGGAATTGCCAACTTAAAGATCCTATAGTGTATCAAAACGCGAGACGGATAAGAATTGCCGCCGGGGACGGATTATACCCTTAGTCTTCAGTCTCACGGGGAAACTGTAGCAGTTATTCTTTTCTCGTGATCAAACCATCGAAATATGTATTTGTAAAGGGAATTAGGCTCGCAATAAATCAGACCCGTCATATTACAACCCAAGAAAGGCTCTATCCATGCCCAAAGACCGGCGCCAAAGCCCCCCTAGCGGCGCTGCAGAGGCTCATTTGTCCACTCGCTAGTATATTTCACACCGCTGAGTTTGAACAGAGCAGTGATCGGACACCGGCGCTCGACCTCGGAAACGAAGTGCTGGAACTTGGGATCGTCCTGGCCACCCTCTATGTTTGTCTGCACTCGCACCTTCAGAACCAAGCTCTCCCAGTTAGGGTTGCCCTGCTCGCCGCCCACCAGCACCGCCGTCGGCAGCTGGGCGTCGACCTCGACATTCCACTCCCCTAGCTCAATTCCGTGGTCTTTCGCAACAACGAATCCGGTAACCTGGTTGCAGGTGCTCAGACTGGTGAGGGAGTAGACGACGGGAGACGGAGCCGAGTCCTTCCCGCCGAGGAGCGTATAGGTGTCGGCCGTGATCTTGTACGTCTTGTCCTGTACCGAAACAGTCTGGATCGTGTCGACTCCCCGGCCTTGGATTCGGATGGGGATGGACTGAAGCCGGGCCGGGGTGCTGGAGAATTGACGGAGGCCGAAGCTCGCCGTGGGAAAGATTTGGGCGCGGCCTCGCGCCAGCGAGCCGAGTCGAGCCGGGAGCATTGTGAGGGAGTTGACCTGGGGTCCTCTGGAGATCTTGATTGTGTTCTTGTCGCTGCCGTTAGTGTGTG